TCAATGTTTTTGAATTAGTTAATGAGCTATCTTCAGACGTGGATAGATGAAAGGTTCCACTTTCATCTGTCCATGTCTGAAGATGCCTGTTAATTAAGTCAAAAACAGTGTTTCTTCAAATTTGCCCACTGTTAAAATCTCATTGATTAATTTAACAGATTAACTTTAGTAGCTAGTTCATCCTTATAGAATATACATAGGCCAATAATATATTATCAAATTTGTTATTGACATGCATATCAATTCTTCTTGTTTGTCAATTAATTAATGTAAATTAAAATTGAACTATCAAATTCTCAATGCTTATAATTATGGAAGACTAAAATTGGATGACTAGAAAAGAATAAACAACCTTTCAGAGTTTACTAATTGCATTTTAATTTGGCAATATAATAGCAAAATTAAAACTTATTGATAAAAGTACTTTGCCTTTTTACAATTAATGCTTTTTTTTAACAACCTTATAAATCCAACAATTAATTTTAATTGAATGACAAATTATTTTGGTCGCATTTATCAGCCATTTTTAAATTTGAAGTGTAGAATAAAACAAAATTTGGCAACTTATACATGTGATATTTTGTTTTTTAATCATTCATTTTTTGTTTTATATTTCAAATCTGAAGATTTCTAATAATTTGATAAAACATTTTTTTATTTAATTATAATTAATTACTGTATTATTATTGTATTACTCATTATTATTGTTCTGTTAATATTCATTTATTTTTAATTGCAGAATATCCTGAAATTGGAATGATTATGAAAATTTTAAAATTCATAACTTAAAAAGAGTTATCTTATTTCAAATGGCCATAAATATTTTAAGATATGTTTTTAATCATAATCTCACCATCTTCTGCTTATAGATCCTACAAATAATAAAACAATTTACTAAAATGATGAAACTTTAGAACTAAATTTCTGAATTAAGTAATTTAAATAAAATTATTTAAAAACCAGAGTAACTTTTAAAAATTAAAATTAATACATTACATACACAACACAAAGATTATTCATTAAATTTTAAAATAGCTCATTGACTGAAAATATTTCTTAAAATATGTTTGGCCATCTAAATTTACTATTTCTTAAAATATCATTATGCTAAGTTTTATAGAGCTTTATAAAATTCATAAGTAACATTCAACTTAAAATTACAAATGTTTAACCTTCATGAAATGTTTTAAGGAGTCATTCACAAAGACACTTCTCTGCATTTGGAGCTAGAACTATTTAAAATGACTACTACAAAACCTTTCCCACTTGTTTCTAGCTGTTTATACACGAGTACGAATGTTTGATAATGTTTGAATATCTACCAACTGACGCTCTAACAGACCACAGTGTACCTAAAGAAGGCCAAAAACATTCGTACTTGTGTATAAACAGCTAGAAACAAGTGAGAAAGATTTTGTAGTAGTCACTTATGAAGACATTTAACAGTATGCACTTTTTAATATTAAAATTTAATAATTTTAATAATTTATATTATAAATTTAATTCTAATTTTTAACATTTTTTTAAATGACCAGTATATTTTTATTTTATACAATATCTGATTTTGTATTTGAATAATTGTTGACTTTTGTTATGGGTCTTTTCATATTTTTGAATTATTTTTTAGTGAAAGAATATAGTAACCTCTTTGAAAATTGTTTTGCATGATGGTGATTCTTTAAAAATTAATTACATTTTTTTCAAGTTAATTGAAATGATTCCAATTAAACAATGCAAAATAATTTCACAGAAATAAACAATAATTCAAGTTCCTGTAAATGATATTTGAAATCAATCTCTTACTTGGAACTTGAACATCAGTTTAATTCATTCAAATTGAGTTAAACTGCTCAGTGAATTGTGAAACAAATAAAGTTATCCTAACATTTTTATCAAGTTAGATATAAATTGCTACAATTTAAGCCATTTTGCTTTTTAGAATTTTGATTCTCTGGACAATGAGCTTAATGTAAGAACCATTGCTTTAAAGTATGGACAGCCCATACTTTAAAGCAATGGTTCCCAAACTTATTATATCCATAAACCTCATAGCAAAAACCTGACCATGAACCCTCAAGTGAAATTACTCTACACAACTACAAAATGGCAAAATTTCAAATTTAACTTTGATGATTTGAATAGTGAATGGTGACATAAAAATAAAATATAAATAAAATGTTTTGATATTTAAAGAAATATTTATTGAAATTACTAGCTAAAGCTTGCCCATTTCTGAAAAACAGATATAATATAATGAAAAAAAAAAAAGAAATGTATAATTTATTTCTAATTGTGTTATAAATTACATTACAAAAATATAAAATTAGTAAGTTTTTTATTTTATCTATTGAATTTTCATAGAAAAACATGTTTTTAATCAAAATAAATGAATTATTTATATATTTTTAGTCATTAAATAGTTTTTATAATTATAAAAAACAAGAAATAATTATCACTGTTTTAAAAGAAAAATTAAATAAACATAATTATAATATTCTATAAATAAACAAAATAAATTCTAAAATGTCATAATGTATGCAATAAATATATACTTTCATAATAATAAAAATGGATCACAATCATTTTACTTTTTATTAAACCTTTCACAGACTCCCTGACGTCCACGCACTCCCAAATTAATTTTAATCTGCCACGGACCCCATCAGTGGTTCCAAGGACCTCCAGAGGTCCGTAGGTCCACTTTGGAAAACATTGCTTTAAAGGCTCTGTCTGTGTCCATACTGTACTTAGAAAAAATAAACAAAATGTTCATATTTTTCAACTGATCACACAGTTACTAGTTAAATCATAACCATTTACATTTAAATCTGACAAAAAGTGCTAAATTTTTTATGATTATTATTGTATTTGTTGACTAGGTGGCAACATTGTATACACAAATGTAACAGCTCTGTTGCTTAGAGAATATGCATGCATTCATTATAAGAGTTTTTTATTCAATAGTACTTGTTGTCTAAGTGGTAAAATAATTTTTTTATATTTGAAATTACTTTCCTTTGGGGCACAGAATGCAAATTGAAACTATATTATATGCCTGCATTTACTAGAAATTCTTTATTTTCCTGGTGGGCTATTTGCTTGGTGGCCATTTCTTATTTTCATATACATTAAATTTCACTTAAGAAAAATAATTTAACAAATAAATTACAAGTAATGTCTATTGTATTCAATTTTTAAAAAGTCTTACTCTAATTTAGGCTGTAAGCTACCATGGTACAGTCCATACAAACAGACATCTGACTCATGGCAAAAGCAGTCTATTACTTGAGATTTTTAAAATAACTGGCCTGAATTCAGATGTGGGCCACAAATGGAATGGCCTGCCAGGATGTGCATTTTGTAACTTCTAATTTAAAAATAACTGATCACAACCTAGGCCATACGTAGCCAACATCAAGCCCACATTAGACTAATGCTTGGTATTTGATGGCTCTTACTAAAAAATCAAAATAGTTAATACAGTTAAAACATATTTTGTTGATATAGTTTTCTTAACATTATATTATTATTAACTATGAAATCTATAAAATCGTACTGCCAAAAATGGCAGTATGATTACGTTACCAGCATAGAGGTATGAAGGAGTACATGTCGAGAATTGATATTTGGTACAGAGTATTAGGTGCCCAAATCATTTGCGCATAAAATAATCCAGACTTGTATGTAGTCAGAGGACTGAGAACTGAATCAAAATAAAATCTGAAATGGCCACCCTCTTCTATACAGACACCTCACTCCACCGAAGTCAGGTGGGGGAAAGTACCACCCACAGTCATTCTAAGAAGTGAACTCTGACCTTAGGACTGAACATGTAGTTTCTTCTATGTTAAATAAAATTTGTAACCTAATTCTGTAAATTNGTAACAGCTCTGTTGCTTAGAGAATATGCATGCATTCATTATAAGAGTTTTTTATTCAATAGTACTTGTTGTCTAAGTGGTAAAATAATTTTTTTATATTTGAAATTACTTTCCTTTGGGGCACAGAATGCAAATTGAAACTATATTATATGCCTGCATTTACTAGATTGAAAAATATGAATAAATTCTCTTTATTTTGCCTTGTTTTCTGACTACTTTTCATGCTAATCCATCAATATTTTTCCCTCGAGTATTATGGTAATCCTACCAATACGTACACTTACAAAAAGTACTGTACATACCAGCACTTTTTTGTTTTTGTTAAATATCATTTTTATTGTAGAAAATTTCATACTTTAATTATTATTTTTATAATGTAATTTTTCTTCAGAATATAAATTCTAATATGAAACTGATTTTATTTAAATGAAAAAATTTTAAGTGAAATTTTATGGAGGGTTTTAAATAATAAAAGATTTAATTTTTAGGTTCATTGCAAAAGGCCTAAAAATTAATTGAAGAAAAAAACTTTTTTTGAAAAAGCGAAATTTTTTTCCAAAATTCTTTTTATTTCATAATTCAATTATTAATTAAAAATTCATAACAACTTTTAAATTAAATTATAATAAAATATTGTCAATTTTCGTGGAAATCAACAGACGATTTACAGTGTATGGTTAATTTATTATTCGAATACACTTCTTAATTCAAAAAATGTTAATATGAATTAAGTATCAATTTTAAATACAGACGATAAGCGTGTAACATTCCTATTGGTTGAAAATTGCTAATGATCAAAACTTATCCAATAAACTATTAGAATTCTTACGCTACGCAATCAGAATTTACCAATCAGGATTCATCGGACATGACAATACCGACGGATCCGAATGATTTTCAACCAATCACAAATGACCTATACCAATCTTTATATAAATTTACAGCGCCATCTTTACGAACAATGAAAACAGATAATAAAATTTCTTACGTCACCAAAATACAATTCTAATTTAAACTTTTCCGTTCAATATACAATTTTTAATATTGCGCGATGAATATAGTAAATACAAAACTTTATTCTTTTCATAATAAATTACGTTACGAGTTCTACTAACTTACCAATCGTCAAGACAAAAGTAACTACGAACTCAACGCCAACAAAGATGGACGCCGAATGAATAATTTCGACGATGTCCACACGATGGCGCTGACGACTTAGAGCCAAACGACAGCCGTTCTTCTATCGTGTCTGTGCCTTAGCTGTAGTCAGAGATGCTTCCCTTTAAATTACTAAACTGTAGAAACTATTCCTTTAAAACTTTAAATACTTTCTACTTTAATCCTGTATTGAATCCGTGCAACCGTTTGTTCAGTCAACAAGTAAGTAAATTACCAATTATTTAGGCTACTTTCATCAAGAACACTTATCAGTTAGCTTATTGATAAACCATTTATAATATATAATCACATCTGCTTTCATTTTAATTATAGCAATATAATTAAAATGAATGATTTAAGATTATGGTTATTACATGCTTTAATCATAATTTGCATGTGACACAATATGAAAATTCATATTTTTTTATTTAAAATTAAATTATTTATAAAATGATCAACTTTTAAACTGTGCTGAATGTCTGAAAATGAATATTGNATATTTTTGAATTATTTTTTAGTGAAAGAATATAGTAACCTCTTTGAAAATTGTTTTGCATGATGGTGATTCTTTAAAAATTAATTACATTTTTTTCAAGTTAATTGAAATGATTCCAATTAAACAATGCAAAATAATTTCACAGAAATAAACAATAATTCAAGTTCCTGTAAATGATATTTGAAATCAATCTCTTACTTGGAACTTGAACATCAGTTTAATTCATTCAAATTGAGTTAAACTGCTCAGTGAATTGTGAAACAAATAAAGTTATCCTAACATTTTTATCAAGTTAGATATAAATTGCTACAATTTAAGCCATTTTGCTTTTTAGAATTTTGATTCTCTGGACAATGAGCTTAATGTAAGAACCATTGCTTTAAAGTATGGACAGCCCATACTTTAAAGCAATGGTTCCCAAACTTATTATATCCATAAACCTCATAGCAAAAACCTGACCATGAACCCTCAAGTGAAATTACTCTACACAACTACAAAATGGCAAAATTTCAAATTTAACTTTGATGATTTGAATAGTGAATGGTGACATAAAAATAAAATATAAATAAAATGTTTTGATATTTAAAGAAATATTTATTGAAATTACTAGCTAAAGCTTGCCCATTTCTGAAAAACAGATATAATATAATGAAAAAAAAAAAAGAAATGTATAATTTATTTCTAATTGTGTTATAAATTACATTACAAAAATATAAAATTAGTAAGTTTTTTATTTTATCTATTGAATTTTCATAGAAAAACATGTTTTTAATCAAAATAAATGAATTATTTATATATTTTTAGTCATTAAATAGTTTTTATAATTATAAAAAACAAACCANTTATTCGAATACACTTCTTAATTCAAAAAATGTTAATATGAATTAAGTATCAATTTTAAATACAGACGATAAGCGTGTAACATTCCTATTGGTTGAAAATTGCTAATGATCAAAACTTATCCAATAAACTATTAGAATTCTTACGCTACGCAATCAGAATTTACCAATCAGGATTCATCGGACATGACAATACCGACGGATCCGAATGATTTTCAACCAATCACAAATGACCTATACCAATCTTTATATAAATTTACAGCGCCATCTTTACGAACAATGAAAACAGATAATAAAATTTCTCACGTCACCAAAATACAATTCTAATTTAAACTTTTCCGTTCAATATACAATTTTTAATATTGCGCGATGAATATAGTAAATACAAAACTTTATTCTTTTCATAATAAATTACGTTACGAGTTCTACTAACTTACCAATCGTCAAGACAAAAGTAACTACGAACTCAACGCCAACAAAGATGGACGCCGAATGAATAATTTCGACGATGTCCACACGATGGCGCTGACGACTTAGAGCCAAACGACAGCCGTTCTTCTATCGTGTCTGTGCCTTAGCTGTAGTCAGAGATGCTTCCCTTTAAATTACTAAACTGTAGAAACTATTCCTTTAAAACTTTAAATACTTTCTACTTTAATCCTGTATTGAATCCGTGCAACCGTTTGTTCAGTCAACAAGTAAGTAAATTACCAATTATTTAGGCTACTTTCATCAAGAACACTTATCAGTTAGCTTATTGATAAACCATTTATAATATATAATCACATCTGCTTTCATTTTAATTATAGCAATATAATTAAAATGAATGATTTAAGATTATGGTTATTACATGCTTTAATCATAATTTGCATGTGACACAATATGAAAATTCATATTTTTTTATTTAAAATTAAATTATTTATAAAATGATCAACTTTTAAACTGTGCTGAATGTCTGAAAATGAATATTGTGTAACAAGTCAAATTCTATTGTTCCTTGGCGTATTCGAGATCTCGGCGTACTGTCAATGGCTCTCGGTATGTCCGTTCGAAATCTCGGATGACTTGCAGTTGATGCCGGCAAACGGGCAAGCGTCTTTATTCGGTGCTTGACGTGCCATCAAACGAGATGGTAATCGCCACGAGACTCTTGAGAGCTCTATTTTGCATTGACAATTTTGAATTTAATTTATTTGTTGACGAATGTACCCTAAATAAATTAAGATCAAGTTAATACATTAATGGAATATTTTAATGTGGGCATATCAGTATATTTATGTGAGACATCACATAATGTTTAATTGTTAACCTGGCACTCCTCCTGGTCGGATTTGTAATGCTGTTACTCGAGTGTGAGCACTGCGCTCACTCTACATATTTTTGTATCCTTAATGATTTGTCTTGAGAAATTTTACTAAGATTAGGAAATTGTGTTATGAATAATACACAATTTCATGTTTATTTTACTTTCTTTTGGTTAGAATACATTAAAAGTAATTTTTATATAGAAACAGAAAATTGGTATCTGCTCAGACCAATAAAAACAGAAATATCTGATATCTGAAATTATTATTAAACTTAATTATAATTTCTATTTAAGCTTGAATCCATTTAGTACGGATTTTTAAAATTGCATTGTTTGTAGATTGTTATTATGTGGTGTCTGCAGATTAGTGTAATAGGCTACACTCTTGGATGCTGTTTTTTTGGCAATATGCACACTATTCTCTTGATATTGATGTTGCCTGTAGAGGATCTGGTTTCTGGTTTCTTTTTCAATACTTTCAGGATTTTTACACAGAGATTCTCATTGTCTGTGAGAAAGAATCCTCATTGACATTTTCTTACTCAGATTCCTCATCAAGCCATTTCAGAAACATTTCATTATGTCTTATGATAGTATGTATGTACAATATCATTTCACAATTAGAATCGTATCACTTCAAATGTAAAAAGAAGACACACTATTACTTGTGGGTGAGTGTCGTGTTAACTTATTCAACACGGCTGAAAAGGCTGTACTGAAANTCATATTTTTTTATTTAAAATTAAATTATTTATAAAATGATCAACTTTTAAACTGTGCTGAATGTCTGAAAATGAATATTGTGTAACAAGTCAAATTCTGTTGTTCCTTGGCGTATTCGAGATCTCGGCATACTGTTAACGGCTCTCGGTACGTCCGTTCGAAATCTCGGATGACTTGCAGTTGATGCCGGCAAACGGGCAAGCGTCTTTATTCGGTGCTTGACGTGCCATCAAACGAGATGGTAATCGCCACGAGACTCTTGAGAGCTCTATTTTGCATTGACAATTTTGAATTTAATTTATTTGTTGACGAATGTACCCTAAATAAATTAAGATCAAGTTAATACATTAATGGAATATTTTAATGTGGGCATATCAGTATATTTATGTGAGACATCACATAATGTTTAATTGTTAACCTGGCACTCCTCCTGGTCGGATTTGTAATGCTGTTACTCGAGTGTGAGCACTGCGCTCACTCTACATATTTTTGTATCCTTAATGATTTGTCTTGAGAAATTTTACTAAGATTTTATTTTACTTCCTTTTGGTTAGAATACATTAAAAGTAATTTTGATATAGAAACAGAAAATTGGTATCTGCTCAGACCAATAAAAACAGAAATATCTGATATCTGAAATTATTATTAAACTTAATTATAATTTCTATTTAAGCTTGAATCCATTTAGTCTGGATTTTTAAAATTCCATTGTTTGTAGATTGTTATTATGTGGTGTCTGCAGATTAGTGTAATAGGCTACACTCTTGGATGCTGTTTTCTCATTCTTGTTTTTTGGGCAATATGCACACTATTCTCTTGATATTGATGTTGCCTGTAGAGGATCTAGTTTCTGGTTTCTTTTTCAATACTTTCAGGATTTTTACACAGAGATTCTCGTTGTCTGTGAGAAAGTATCCTACATTTTCTTACTCAGATTCCTCATCAAGCCATTTCAGAAACATTTCATTATGTCTTATGATAGTATGTATGTACAATATCATTTCACAATTAGAATCGTATCACTTCAAATGTAAAAAGAAGACACACTATTACTTGTGGGTGAGTGTCGTGTTAACTTATTCAACACGGCTGAAACAAAGGCTGTACTGAAAGTGTTAATGATTAATATTATTTCCAATTCCAGTATCTTGTTGAAAGTGATACTCAGGTAGAAAAGTAGACAAGAGTTTGGCTACAAAACTTCCAGGAAGCCCGAGTTACAAGCATTTTAAAACGAATGTTGAATGCAGCACTGCCCTTTAGTAACGGCAGGTTAAAGTGTAATCTTGGGATTGATTTCATTATGTATAACTCCTATAGAAATGAAAAAATCTTCATCCCTCTTTCTCTTCAAAATATTCATTTTTGATTAAACTGTTTTCATTAAATAAGTTCAAAAATAAATTTAATGTAATATGGAAGTCCATATCATTTGCCATTTTTCTTGTTTTTCTTTCCTGGTATCCTGGCAATCAGTGTGGATTCTCTAAAAACACCAGCAGTTGCATTACTTCTGGCAGTATATCACTGGATTGATGTGAGATTTTCAATATACCTAATGTGATAACAGTAATTGAAAGTTCCTAAAACCATGGGTGTTATGTATGTAAACCTCCAGGGGATAATCCACACCGAATTGACCTAGTTAGGCGACCCTGCACTTCTGACCTTTGTTGTGTTCCTTTGTCTTTGGTCAGTTGTGCGTTAGCTGTTGTAACACTAAGACCTGGAGGCACAAAGTTACGTTTGTATTATAATAAAGTTAATTATATATATGTTAACAAATAGTCATTTATTTTACGAACACAGCAATTGGCAACAAATTGATAAAATTGGCAACGAATTGGCAATAAGGATAAAATTGGCAATGAGGACAAAAAGGATATAAAAATGAGTGAACTTACAGAATTAATTTTAACTCTAAATGTGTTTATCAAGAAACTACAGAGTCAGTCGGTGGAGACAAAACCAGAACTATCAGTTCAACGAGTTCTCCAAACGCAAGCCCTAACCTTTGAAACTTATGACAAAACGGCTAAGACCTTTGAAAACTATTCCCAATGTCTGGATAATTTTTTCAAAATCAAAGGGCTAACCGGTACAGATGCCATTACTGAACAACTAAGGTAATGATATTAATCAATTGTCTTGGACTGAAACATTATCAGCTACTGACCAACCTAACAGCACCAGAAATACCCTCTAAGTGAACCTTTGCTGAATTAATGAAGTTGCTACAAAATCACCTAACACCCAAACAAAATATCCTAACAGAACAGCATAAATTTTTGTACAGAGTACAACATAATGGTGAGTCCATTTCAAATTACGTGACTTCGTTAAAACAACTCTCGAAAAGCGCAGATTTCAAGTCTATTTGTAACAATGCAGACTGTATAAAATCCGTCATAGATCTAATGTTAAGAGTACAATTCATAAGTGGTTTATGAGATTTCGACATACATGAGAAAATTCTACAACAAATCAACGTAACCTTTGAAAAGATGCTAGAAATTGATTTAGCCATAGAAGCTTCCAAAATTGAAAATGATGAAGTATATAAAAGTAACCACCTTGTTCACAAAATTGCCAAAAATACTCAAATAAAACAATGCTCACAGCTTCAAACACAACCGTCAAATCATAACAGAAGCAGAAAAGAAGATTACAGCGAAAACCTACTTAACCCTAAAGAACTTCATTTAGAAGGACTATGCTTACATTGTGGAAAAAACAACCATAAATCAATAAACTGTAGAGTCAAAAACCAGCTGAAGTGTGAACGATGTCATAAAAAAGGACATACGGGAAAAATATGCACATCATCCTTAAGGAAACAAACATCAACAATTAACAGGAATCATAACGTCCACAATATTAATCACGAATGCATAATTGACTTTGATATAAACAGTGTTCTAGACATATTTGTTAATAGAACAGGAACTGATGACAGACTCCTCACAGAAATTTATGATAATGGTACAAAAGTTAGTTTTGAATGTGACACTGGCAGTCGCGTCACTATCATCAGTTTCAACAAATTCAATTGTTTACAATTGAATGCGCCCATAGCAAAAACGAAAGTGACCTTTCAAAATTACACAAGAAAGATTTTCAAACCCCTAGGAGTGGCAAAAGTAAAAACTAAAAATGTTGGTAATTACAGTATAGAGGACTTATATGTCATTCCCTTCCAAAAAAAATGCAATAGTAGNAATTATTGGCCGATAGCCCTAATAAGCTGCATTAGCAAAGTGATAGAGATGGTGGTAAATGCCAGGCTCAGATGGTACCTGATGGAACATAATATGTCCTTTTATATATGGAAAACTGATATATTTTGTATCTATATTTAGCTTTTTTGATTTATTATTATTTATTTTACTATTTATCTTGTTTTCCCAGCGATCTATTAAACTATTAGGATATCCTAATAGTTTAATAGATCGCTTGATAATCTTAGCTTCCGATATTGAAATCAGAAAGTGAATACCAGCTAATTTCATTATCAATGTTTGATATTACTGATATCGAGAATTATTGATATTTACAAAGTTATTTAATGTAATTCAAGTACTGTATTCAAATTATTTTGTATGTATTTGTCACAATATTCTTATTTAAACAGTGTTAAGTTAATTGTTATGTTAGTTTTAGATTTTTGAA